TCGGTGTGTGTGTGTGTGTGTGTGTGTGTGTGTGTGTGTGTGTGTGTGTGTGTGTGTGTGTGTGTGTGTGTGTGTGTGTGTGTGTGTGTGAATTATTACCTCCTCTACATTAGAGGCAGTCTTGGCTGAAGTCTCCATGAATATGAGGCCATGTTCTCTTGCAAATGCTTCACCTTCCTCTTTTTTCACCTCTCTCCTCGACTCCAGGTCACTAAACACAAACACAAAAACATGAATACTATGTATTTTCCATGGTCATCCAAAGGTAGAAGATAGTAAAGCATCTTTGGGTTCAAGAAAAGCGCTATAGAAATACAATTTATTATTATTATTATTATTAAAGTAGTATATTAGTACACCTCATGAACAGTGATGCATTTCCTTTACTGTGAAGGAAGCTAGGATCACTTTCATTGTGTGATATCAATGACCACTTTTCTCTTATGAAATGAACCGTCATTTGAACTCCTGTTCATGATGACTCGTTGCTGATAAGAGCAGGTAAAGATGTGTCAGGCTTTGTTGTTCTGACTGAAAATAATACGTTGTCATTGAGCTATACACTGGGCTACAGGGTAGCTAACAGCTCTGTGTAACATCAGTGCCAATACCTGCATTCTACCATTCTACCTCCTTTGTTAAACCTTAAAACTGATAAGTGTATGACTCCGTAAGGCAGGTTTAGTAGACAGTTGCCAAAAAGAGTTTCAGGTTGTTCGTAATCAACAAAAGGACATTTGTAAACTCATCATTTTTACATAACAGTTATGTAACATTGAGTACATGAGCCTGAGTTGAACTGTGTTGTAGAGGTGAACCTCCTCAAATCGATTTAACAGAATTAATTCATCATCATATATATCTTTTTTAAATATTTTATGTATGCACCATGACATCAATTCAAATTCCTCGTACGTGTGAACCTACCGGGCAATAAATCAGTTTCTGATTCTGATCATCATAATTAGCTTCAAGGTGCAGTTCTATCTAGCAGCTGTTTGTTGGGTCGATTTAGACATTGTAGAGGAAGCTGGGTCAGATATAACACTAAGGACACGGCCAGGCACAATGTTAACAAACCATTTGGATAATAATAATAATGAATGTTAACGCTCGAGTGGCAGCCTGTTACAGCAGCTCCTACTCACCGCTGAGTTTTCTATATATTTCTTTAATTAACGTACTTTACTATAATTTATTGTACTTACATTTAAATCTTGTATTTACATTTTGTTTTTATCTTATAGTGTTTTATTTTGTTTTTCTCCATCTTCCCTTTTGCTGTAACAATGTAAATGTTTCCTCTGTGGGCAAAAAAAGGTATTCTGATATTTATTTGAGTGCTTTTCCGATAGCTCAAAGCATTACATTAGCTTACATACATTATACATTCCATACTGTGGACAATCCCCACAGGAGCAGTTTGGGGTGAGGTGTCTTGCCCAAGGACACAACGGCATGCTGACTGCAGTGGGGGTCAAGGTGGGATTGAACCTGTTCAGAGGATCAGCGCACTTATCCACTGCGACACAGACGCCCTCAAAAATAAAAAAACACAATGCTCATAAGCCTGCGTGGTTGCAGTACAGTGTTATATGTTCAGGATCTTACCTCTTGTTGCCAATGAGCATGATGACCATGTTGGAGTTGGAATGTTGGCGAGCGTCCTCTAACCAGGTCGTCAAGTGGTTGAAGGTGTCCCTTCTGTTAAACAGGAACAGAATCTGGCTTTAATCTACTTTTACATTGATAACACAGCTGTTACGCTATCAGATCTTATAAAGTCCTTGTCCCTTACTCTTGCAGCGTTTCCAACCATTCAATCTTACAAGAAGACTTCATCCCAGCTGTTCCTGTTCCTGATGCATGCCCTATGACTATCTGAAAAGAACACTGGTATTTGCTCTAGTTTACTGTCCTTAAGGTGAACCATAATATCTTAAGTCCCTCTCGTGGCCCCTACAGGTTGTAATGTCCACTGTAACCAACTATATTCAAATGAACTCCATACCAGCAACTCAACTAACTAGGTCAGTGGTAGGGAACCCAAGGTTTCCACATCTGGGGAGCGTGAAGGCTGATTTATTTTAGACTTTAACCCCCTTTCATACACATGTGCCAGCTCAGCTTGGCACTGTGCTCGAGCTCAGCACAGCAGGGATTTGCATCTCCATTCCAAAAGAGCTAAAAGTGTGTCTCCATCTAACATCTCTCTTCTACTTTTCATCCTTTCAGTATTAGTAGAGGTCTCAGTTAGGCCGCACTCTGTAAGATGACACTGTAACTCCATTGGAGGCGGGTTGGATGCAATTTGGCCCAACTCCGGAGATGGCCCATCATCACAATTTGGCTTTACAGTAAGTATATTGGTTTTAGGCAGTTGTGATTGACAGACCATTGATTTTTGAGAAAGAGGCAGGTAAAATAATACTTTCTCCTCTTCTTTCTATCAAGTGCTACAAAAAAAAAAGCTTAAGTGTACACGAGTGGAATAAACTAATACAAAATTAAATACTATATCTTGTATAGGAAATGCAGATCAACTTCTGCTTCTCGGATACATTGTTTGACTTGACCAAAAGTGGGAATGGAAAAACCCAGGTAGAGAAAGCTGGTGGGGGGGGAATTTTGACACCATGGTAGAGCTGCACAAAAGGTTACGGGGTCATGACAAATCATTGGGAATCAACCTCTGGGGAGTATAAAGATCAATAACAGATTTCATGTCAATCTCGCCAGTAGTCGTCAATATATTTTGCTCTGCACCATAGTGTGGAATTGATGGGAAGACTGACGTGCTGCTCACGCTTGAGAAGAGCTAACACCCAATTTACTCTTGGTCACTTCATGTTTCTTAAGCGGATCTGAGAGCTTTCCCATCTCAAAACACTGTAAATGTTCCTGAGACCCAATCAGGAGGTGGCATTTCCTTGTGCCATCAGCATGTCTAAATTTCACATATCTTGCAAACATTTCAAAATGCCCTAAATGGATTACACAAAGATGTTTCAGACATTCAGAGTTCCAAGAGGATTAACCCTTAGGACTTTGGTGATATTAGAACCTTACCTAGAAGCAGTATTTTAATCTGTTTTTGATTTATTATAAACTCACGCTAATCTGCAGTCCTTTCAAAAATATATGCACAACTTGCTACCACGATGAGGAAATGCAAACAACTTCGAAGTGTTTCTGACCACAGCTTTGCTACAGATTATGTTTGGGTCTGTGTGATTGGTTGTGTTACCTTGTGATGTCATAGACTAGCAGAGCTCCTGCTGCTCCTCTGTAGTAAGACCTGGTGATGGAGCGGAATGACTCCTGACCAGCCTGGAGAAACACATACATATATTAATAAACAGAAATTGAAATGTGAATAATTGAAACGGCCACAGACAAGTGCTGATCCTTTGGTTTTCTAACAGCCCTGATCTTGCTGGGGTCTGACTGACCTCATCTTTCAATCCTACAGGTCACAGTTAAACCAGTCCAGCTTATCTGCAAGTCTTGTTTCTATGTGGTCTAGGGCCACTAATGCTCTGCACCAGCCCAGATTCTCTAGCAGGCTCCGGCTCCAGGTTTTCAGTCAGCTGGCAGAGGACCGGACAGAGGCGAGCCTGTCATTGGATACAATAACATTCTTTTTTCTGTCTCCATCTATCTGTCAACATCCCTTTCTTTCTCCAGTGTGTATAACCTCCTATTTATGAACAACAATTTCATATCAACAGTGCCCACCTCGTTTGACACTCCCCCTTCCATTATTACCCCTCATTGTCTCGACTCCACTGTCTGTTCCTTGCATCACTCATCTTTTCATTCTTTCTCCATAAACCCCTGGGCCTCCATTATTTCCACCACTATTCTCACTGTGTATCACTCTTACCCCCCCTCCCTCTCATGTCTATTCAGGCTCTGTCCCTATCCCATATATACTAACAATGTTGTCTGTGTTTCGCCCGGGCAGGAGTAGAAAACAAAACAGCACTATCCTAGCAGCTGCGGCTCTGACTTCATGTGAAAAACTAGATAGCCAGTCAGTCAGAAACACAAGCAGTCAGTGAATCATGGAGCAACTCAGAGGAGCAGTTTGTCACCCAGCAACACCAGCTCCCGGGCAGTGAAGAGTCAGAGAACTAGAGTTTCAGTCAGTGAGCAGGTTATCTAGACGGCTAGTTAGCTACCCTGACTGCTCCTCCAGCTAACAGCCAGCAGTCAGTCAGGAAGCGGTCAGTCAGTCAGTAATGCTATTAGTGCATAAATGATAAATAAGGGTGAAAGCGAGGGAACGCTGCATCTGTCTGCCATCTGGTCATGTGCGGAGGAACACACATACATGCACAAACACTTTATTCATATGGCATGTGCAGCCTACACACTGGTTTCTCTAGACATTTGGTGGTGGTGGGAGTTCTGTACCAGTCAGTATCAGTGGGCCCTTCTGGTTTGTTTTTGACCCTCTCATCTGGGACTATACGACACCTTTTAAACCAGGTGAGGCAAATCGCTACCTGATAGGACAGACAGTAGTGTGAGAAGCAGGGCTGACATCATGCCTAGTTCAGACCCTCAAGCTTGGGGAGGTGCCTGCCTTTCCATGGAGCTCTATCTCCCCCTGCTGGTCAAACGCCTAACTGCATGGGCAGGAAACCATAGTGGAAGTGACGCAATGTTTGGACAGTGATGGAAGAATTACTTAGAACTTAAACTGAAGTAAAAGTAGCAATACCACAGTGTGAGAATACTCACTTACAAGTAAAAGTGCTGCATTTAAAATTGTACTTAAATAAAAGCATAAAAAAGTATAAGCTTCAAAATATACTTCAAGTACAAAAGTGAAAGTACTCATTCTGCAGTATGGCCAATTTCAAAATCATATATATATTACATTATAATTATGGAGCAATAATTATTGCTCCATTAATGTCAATATTGCACTTGTTTTAATTTTTTATTATTTTATATAATGTTTGGTAGCTTAACATATACTAAACAAGTAGGTCTGATTTATATGTTGTATTAACAATCTAAATCTGCAAAGTAACTTGTTACTAAAGTTGTACAATACATTTAGTCGAGTAAAAAGTAAAATAATTGCCTACAAAATGTAGTGGAGTAAAAAAGTAAAAATACCTCAAAATGGTACTTTATTAAAGTAATGAAGGTACTTAAGTAAATGTATTTAGTTACATTCCACCTGTGTGTGGAACATCACATCCTTTATTTGATAGTCTGGAGCAAAGGTTTTGATGAAAGTTGGTAACAACTTTAATTTGGTCTGAACTACCACTTGTCTGCACTGTATACATAGTTGCTTCTCGATGAAATCTTTTCTTAATGTTCTCTCTTCAACTGTGTCTCCTTTAGTTTTCATTCCTTTTGAGGAATTTCTCTCTAATTGGAATGTCTCTGATAAGTCAGGGAGACAACATGAAAGATGTTGCCACAATGAGAACAACATTTATGAGCCTTCTTGTCATTCAAAACAACTAAACGCATATCTTGTTGATTTGTTTATCTCTGTCATTCTTTTTCAGATACATTATTTATCAAACCATGTAATAATACATGAATTATGTATAAGATACAGTATTCAAACCAAAATGTTCTTTCTGAAGACTTTTTTTCAGATTCATATTTACACCAACATCTATTACTATTTAGGAAATGTGTCATTACAGAAATAGCAGTCAACTCAAGTTTAACGTCTGCATTTCAGAGACATCCATATATTTATAGCCTTGCTTTTATGTCATTCATTCAATATGTTATCAGGTGTTTTTAGAGTCTTTAATATGCCGTCACAATAAATGAAAAGCTAGATATATTACCGTATCCCAGATCTGCAGTTTGATCTGTTTGCCATCTATAGTGATCATCCTCGCTCCGAACTCCACACCTGGACACAAGAATGTGGATATGGTAGATTAGGTGCCGACTCAATAGTCACATTGTTACTTGTTGGCTGTGCTTTAATATTGGCTCTTCCATCTGTTTGACTGCTTCTATACTGCCCCATCAGGACGACCCCCCCCCCCCCCACTCATACTGTATGTATAAGTGGGTGGGGTCTTCCTGAAGAGGTGGCTCTACAATGTTTTACAGCTACTTCTTTCACTGCACAGATCGAGACGAGTAGGCAGACAAAGATAGTGATGTGTGCTAAGTGACCAACAGCATGTCTTTCATTATCTGTAGGAATATTGGAAATACTATACACAGCAATTTAAAGCAAGCTTGTAATGAAACTTAAGTTCATAATGTTCAGTTTTCTCATTATCCCCCAGCTAAATGATTGCCTTGAATACAAATATAGATAAAGGCAGCAGGGGAAGAAGAAGAGAACAGAATGGGCTTTCAGGCAACAGGTACTAAGCATCACTTATCAGTAAAGAAGGGATGCTAAGTACCGTTAGCCACGTTTCTTATGATAGTCAATATTAATAATCCTTTTGTTGCCTGACTGTAACTATGTTAACATGAGATTTGTCTCTTTAGGTTTAATACAATGTAGGGTTATTTCTAATTTCCAGGAGCAGTCTTCCAACTTGAATTTGATCTGTCTGAATGTTAGGACCAATATAAGGTGACTTTTACTTTTGCCTGGATAAAACAACATTATTTCTTTCTGAGATAAAGGTTCATGAAAGGAGTACCTTAAGGCTAAAACATAAACAAGCCAACTTCACATGTTTAACCCAGCCCAGATAGCACCAGCTTCACTGATTGCAATATGGACAAATACAGTGATTCTTGGACCTAGAGTTGGTCTGGGTTTAACCTAGAGAAACCTAGACCGTCTTTGACCTGCCCAGTGCAATCCCAGAGCAGACGCGTTCTCTTCCGGTTGAAAAGTGTCAAATACAGCATACACACTGTTTTTCGTAGGATCTGTATTGAACAAATATGTTCCTTTAGGTCTCTACAATACTTTTTGTAGGACTGGAATTCTCTGCAGCTCCACAACATTTCATTATAAATATACTATTTTCACATATCAAGCGTGGAAGAAATATTACACATCCTGTGATTTGAACATTGCACATGACCATATTGCGATTTTGATAACATATGAATCAATTGTGGAGTCCTATTGTTGATGCTGAAATGATATATGGTGCAGCCCTAGTAGCACAGGATTCACAGCTAAATGAAATGATGCATTAATGAATGTATTTCTAGTGCTGGTGTTGCTGCAGAGCTGAATGTGTAGAGGACTTACCGATAGTGAGATCGTGAACTGGCTGAAACCTCTTGTCGGTGAACTGTAGTAATAGACATGACTTCCCCACACCTGCAAAACAAAGACACAGCACATTAGAGGGAACACTGATTATATAGTGACACATATAAGCATGAACACCCTTCACATTCATTTCCAAAGGTGTCTCAGCAAAATACCACACATCATTATAAAATCAATGACTGAACTCCCACACAGTGCAGAGGATCCGGCTGTTTCCAGTTGACAACACTGCAGGAAGCTACAGATATACAATGATAATGAACATTTTATACATAGAATTCACTCAAACTAAACATATTGGAGCATCAGCGTCTTCAAACCAGCCCGACACGCTTACACACCGTTTCTCCAGCTAGCTTCAGTGAGCTCAGTTAGCCTGAGCCAACGCACCAGCTGGCAGGCTGTGTGAGTGAAGCTACTCTGGTCATCATTGACAACTGCTCTACATATGACTGCAGTTGTAAATGTAGCAGACTGCCTCACATCCACACAAACAAGGACGGACTAACAGCGCAGTTTTATTATTATTTAAATGTATTCTGTATAAGATCTCGATACTTTAATCAGTGATGCAAACACAGGTATGGTGAAAAAAGAGAAAACTATTCGAAGCAGAAAAAAACAGTGTAATACACCGTCTGACAAAGGCCTGTGCTATAATGCTTCAATTAACTGGCTATTATTTATAATATACTCAGATCAGTAGGAGAAAGAGAAGTTATAAATCAAGGGTTTTTATTATTATTTACAGCAGGGGTGGGGAACCTTTTTCCTTTCAATTTTTACAACATCCTCCGAGGGCAGTACATATTATTGAACTCAACCTCTGCTTAAAAAAATAAAATCACAGCCCATTAATTTCGCCTTTCTTTCATGTTGTGCAAAGAAAAAGCAACCTCTTAATCCAGATATCTCACCATGACTCGCGCTGTCGCGCATGCATGCACGGTTGTGGCATGACCACCAAAACAGAAAGATATGGACACAAGATGTGTGTAAATTTATTTAGTACCCTATCCATGTAAACATGATTTAAGTGGGAGGGGGAGATTTTTTTTTAAATATTGAAGTTAAAAGCATCAATCTGGTGCACTTTGAGAGCAACATTAGGAGATCTATGGATACATCTCAACACCCATTTTAAACAGAACTGTAAGCAGATTTTTCTTTTTGGATATTTTACAAATCACTCCCCTTTTAAACTGTATTTTTGTTTGTTGTTAATCAACAACTTTGTTTTACTGTGATATAGTATTTTATACCTGTTTTTCATTTAGTCTCTAATGTCTCAATAATAACTATAATGATGATCATATCAAGGTGTGCCTTAACCTCACTGAGCTGAGGTTATTTGAGCCTCTCAGGAGAGAGCTCTCTTCCACCTGGTTGTAGAAAAGCTCTTTAAATTCGTTAGCATAGCTAGCTAACCAGATGCTAATAACGACAGATCGCCACTGTGCTTATATTACAACTAAAGACACAGCCACGCAAACACTGCGGCATGTGTACGGCTCCTTATGGGTACTGTAATATTTGAAACGCTGGAGCAGCGTTCCGGTGCTCTCCGTCAGCACTCCTTTCAGACGAGACATATACCACGTGAAGACACGTTACGCTCGTGTTTTGTTCAAGGAACCTGTCCTCGGCCAGGAAAAACAGTCACTCGCTTGTTTAATTATTTTGCGATCTAGATTTCTTCTTCTTTTTTGAAGTGAGAAGTTGTCCGTCAGTCGGATGGATGGATGGACTGACTGACTGACTGACTGACTGACTGACTGACTGACTGATTTGATCTGTACTACTCACTGTTTAATAATTATTTTAAACTGCTGCTACTCATTCTCTAGCCATGGTTGTGTACTGATTTATCTTGTTTATTTTATTATTAATGTCTACCATTCTTTTTAATTATTGCTTGCCTTTTGACCTGCTATGCCACTTTTACTGTAACACAGTACATCAGTGGTCACCAACCTTTGAGACTGAGAGCTACCTGAGGATAAGGAACTCCATGGAGGGCTACTTGTTTGATAACATCTGTCAGAAGAATAGTTTCCCTATTTGTTAGCAACACCTGTAGACACAGGAGTTACAGTCAGGCTACAGACTATTGTGGTAGGAACCATTACATGTGGCGGCATACCTGTAAACTGACATGTCAAATGTATTTATCACCCAATGGTTCTGACTGCCCTGTATTTATCATTGAGGTTAATGCACAGTACTGAGATTGATTAAGAAATAATGTTTAAAGAGAGACAAGATGTATTTTTTGTTTGTATAAAGTTAAGTGACTCATCTTCAACTCAACAGGGTCTTTTCTAAGAAAGAGTGTAAAATAAAGAACATTGCAGTTGAATGCTTGTTGCAGATGTAGGTTTATGTTAGGATGAGCATCAGAGGTTTGAGGTTAAGAGGCAAATTAAATCAACAAGAGATGGTTGGGAGGAGGGGGGAGGGAGAAGAGAGGAGAAGGATGCTAATGAGAAGGCCAGGGAGAGAAGCTGACACAGAGGGACGTGGTCTTCCTCTTTCGTGGTTTCCAAGGGTTACCATTGCCAGGCAGCGGCGTTGCTAAGCAAGATCATTGAGTGATGATGAAGATAAAAGATGTAGGAAAGGACGGAGGGATGAGGATGGGAGTTATATAGGAGGAGTCACAATCTTGTTATTAAACGTGTATATGCAGTCAACACACACCTGCTCACTCTTCGGATACCAACGGCCGATGACTATCACAGAAGACACTTTAACAAATGTAGCTGCTGTTTGCTACATTTTTCAAAGTGGCTAAATGAGTTACATTACAATCAACACATTGTTTTACCATAGAAAATGTCCTAAATCTGGATATAGGGAATGTGACGTCACCAACGGCAACTCGTCCATCTCTGGAGGATACGACTGCAACCTGTTAACTAAACCTGTAAAGCAAGATAACCGTTTCACTTTAAACGTTTTAAACATGGTCAGTAGGCTCTGTAAACAGACACTCCTATGACCAATGAGCAAAACTAAAAAGAACTACGGGATTCTACTCTATTCTTTTCAAACAGAGAGACGAGGGAGACGTAGCGAGCATCAGCTAAGTAGTACGCTGAATGTGTTGAACTCCAGGTAACACAAACCACTAAACTGGGAATATGACTTAAAACAAGAAATATCACAGTATACGTACATATACTGGGACATGAATTATACATGATATGACAGTGTTTTGTTAGCATTCAGTTAGCATTGCATTAGCCGTCTTACATCTGTCCGGATGATTCGATAGTTGTCATCAAACCTATAGATCTGCAGGACCTAGTTAACTTGACATGGGAGATCTGTCAGGATTAGTGGAGAACTGAGCAATAATGTTACAGTGCAGGGATTATTCATGCAGCTTCTGGTTGAGCTGATATCACGTCACCATAGCAGAACCTGTAATCAGAGGTAATTTCAAATTTGGAAAAAGCCGAGCAAATAAAATGTATAATCGGTGACTAAGGGTGTCGCTGGAGAACAGTGGATGATTGACAGAATGAATGAAAGGTGGAGTCATTTGTAGGCCCTGGCTAAGCAATCATCAGTCTGATTCAATAGAACTGGAGCCATGAAATAAGAGGTCATCATTCTCCTTTCCTCCAACTCTACTGTATGTTAAAAATGTTAATGCTAACTATGAGAAAGCTTTCACAAAGTATTCATTATCAGCCATGATATATAGTAGAGATGTAACGATATACCGAATATCGCAGTAAATAAACGTCGCAATACCGTTGTGAGACTGACAAATACTGCGATTTTTTTTAAAAGATTTTTTTTTTTTTTTAAACCTTTATTTAACCAGGTGGTCCCATTGAGATCATCGATCTCTTTTTCAAGAGAGACCTGTCCAACATGGCAGCAAG